TTTTTGATAGAGGGTCTCACTCACTCTGTCACCTAGACTAGAGTGCTCTGGCATCATAGCTCACAGTAACTTCAAACTCCTGGGCTCCAGTGATCCTCCTGAGTAACTGGGGCTGCAGGTGCCCACCACAATGCCTGGCTAATTTTTCTACTTTTTTAATAGAGACGGGGGTCTTGATCTTGCTTAGGCTAGTCTTGAACTCCTGAACTCAAAGGATCCTCCTGCCTTGACCTCCCAGAGTGCTAAGACTGCAGGTATGAGCCTCTGTGCCTGACGTCCTAAACCTTCCTCTTCCAACCTTCAAGGACATCTCGGGAAACAAGTGGGATCAGGTCAGATGTGGGGTAAGGGGACCTGGTGCTGAGGGATCACAGCAAAGGGAGAGGGGCTAAAGGCTAATTGAAAAGCTGCAAAGCCTGGAAATGGGAAAAGCTCCATCTACAGAACCACAGTTCATTTATTAGATCTTAATCATCAGAAAACCTGAGCCCACTTCTCACGTAGCTAAGGCAAGGGTTTTGCCAGAACACAGTAATAGGCTCACATTTTGAACTTGGTTAACCAGCAAGGAATCCTTAGTGTCCTGCACCCAGCAGGCCCCCAACTCCCTGTACAAGCACACAGGGTGGGCAGGATCCACTGCAGAGATGAAGGAAGTAAAGCACCAGGCTTCTGAAATGATCTGAGACTCATGAAGACATCAGAAGCCTGCCAAGTGGAGCCGCTTTCCTGAGGCCAGGCCTGCTATCCCCACAATGTGGTTCTCACCCTTGAGATCACCAGTTGTCAACCAGCTAAGACCTCAAAGGTCCCTGTTTGCAGAACAGATTTTTTTTTTTTTTTGAGACAGAGTGACTCTGTTTCCCCAGGCTAGAATGCTGTGATGCTGTAGCTCATAACAACCTCAAACTCCTGGGCTCCAGCGATCCTCCCAAATAGTGGGACAACAGGTGTCTGCCACAACACTTGGCTAATTTTTGTATTTTTTAATAGAGCAGGGGTCTCACTCTTGCTCAGACTAGTCTTGAACTCCTGAGCTCAAGCAATTCACCTGCCTCAGTCTCCTAGTGCTAGGATTACAGGCGTGAGCCACCATGCCCAGCCAAAGAACGAAATTTGTTAACTGTTATTACCATAATACACTGGTCATTTTCAATAAATATTGAAGACCAGAGTTGGGTGTGCAGCAAAACTTTCTCCTGCAATTGCTGCTTTGTCTCCTTCATCTGCCTCGTGCTTTCCCTTAGCATCTGTAAAACACTTCAGCTAAGGAGAACTAAGGAAAGGAATGAGCTGAAAGAAGCACTGCCTCTCTCTCTGCATCACTAGGGGCCTGGCCCACGTGCTGCAGGGACCACCATTATAAACACGTAGAAGCTGCTGAGCCAGCTCTCCATGCCTGCGTGTGGACCTGCGTGTGGAGGGGAAGGAGGAGGGTTGCAGTAATAAGGGCAGTGGCTCCCACAATGCCTTAGGGCAAGGTGTCAGGCACAGATGGACATAACTTCAGGCCTTCCATAGTACCCATTGTCAGATTTACAGACAGCTCAGCTCCTAGAGAAGACTAACTCCCTAGGGCCACAACCACCCAGGGCACCATCAACAGTGCCCTACAGTCCTAATACCCTGGCCTCTCCCTGTGATTCTACTTCTCCAGCCATGTCACAGTCACAACTGCATATTCTGGCCAGCCCACAGCTGTCCTATGGGGTCAAGCGGAGTCCTGGTCCTGGGGCCAGGTCCTCCGTAAGAGCAGGACCCCCTCATAGCAAACTCCCACCACCACTCTGTACCCTCTGTCTGCTGCTTCTGCCTTTGGAGGTAGGGAGCTGGTGGGAGAGAGCAGCCCCTTAAGTGCTGGGGGCAGCTGGGGTGAATCAGAGGATGTTCCTGAGAAGGCTCCCCAGGGAGAATCCACCAGTTTTATAGAAAAGCAAACCAAGCCAGAGAGAGAGCTCTCTGCCTGGCCGTGCACAGCTAAGGGTGTTTCTCCCTAGGGCTGGCTGCTTTCCTTTCCTCTAAAGCAGAGGAACCAAGTCCAGCTCAGCAGAGAGCAGTGACCATAGGGAATGGGCTTCTCTTCAGATCCTGGATCCTGCTGGAGTGGGCTCCCAGGCTAGTCTCACTCCCATTTCCCCTCATCATTGTAATCTTAAGAACAGTGCATCAGGCTCTCCCCCCAGGGTTTGAGCTTCCCAAAGACTTAACTTCTTTCTAGCCGGCCAACCCCGCAATCAGTGAGGCTCTATTAACCTCTACCTAGGCAGAGCAAGTTGCAGACTTCAGCAAAGCTCCAGTTGGAAAGTTCCCAGTAAGTAAATAACTTAGGTCTCATGCAGGTTTACTTGGGGAATCCTGGCGTAATTCTAGAGACACATTTCACTATCCAATAAATAGGGGTATATGAAGGGTAAATTAGATAGTGACCCCGCCTACCCACTGAAAGGTCAAAGACAGGAGTGAAAAAGGAACACCCAGTCTTCCCTTAGACCAGCTGGAGCCTCACAGGATGGGAGCCTGGTGGCACACCCTGGGGGGTCACTCCCTGTTCCCAGAGGCCACTGGTAGTGGTGGAAGGAGGCCTTAGAAACCTACTATTTAAAAAACGGTAATAGTGGGCGGTGCCTGTGGCTCAAAGGAGTGAGGCGCTAAGCCCCATATGTCAGATGTGGTGGATTCAAACCCAGCCCCAGCCAAAAACTGCAAAAAATAAAAATTAAAAATTAAAATAAAATAAAAATGGTAATAGTAATTAAGCCACACAGTACTACATCTGAAATTCAAAAGCAGCTTTCAAGTTTAACAAAAAAAGAATATAGTGAATAAAGCTGTATTTTTGTCCCCAGACTTACAATTTTGCTCCCCTACAGTTTAGTTTAGAAAACTGATTGAGAGAAGGGGTTCCAGAATCCAGAGTCACCTGCAGAATACTCAATTCCAGATCATAATTTAAGGTCCAGACAAAAGGCTTTCTCCTTATTCTTCATCAGCTTCTGGAGGAAGCACTTTTGGGGGTGATGTGCCCCCAGCCGGCGGGACACAGCTGGAAAGGGGCCAGCTACAAGCTGAGGACCTGCCATGAGGATTTTCAAGCACTGCCTTCTGTTCGGCTTAGGTTTGCATCTTGTTTTAATCTTGAAGAGGTTATTTATAGAATTTTAGGGAATATGTCTTTCTGAAAATTGTTTTATCAAATTACAACTGTTGTGCATCCAGGACATTTTCCCTCCATTATTTCCTAATGACATACTTGATTTTACAAAATGGACTTCCAGCCTCACTGTTACCCCCAATCTGACCCTGCGGAAGCCTCCCACTTCCCGTTTCCTTCTTGGCCCAGAAAAGCCAGCTTGCCAAATATAGTCATTAAATTAGCCCACTGTAGCCATTGTTCACCACAGGAAAGGTGCCATTTGATTCTGCCCTCTCCTGCCTCACCCCCACAAAAGCGGCTGCAACTTCAATAACAGGGTGGATTCTAATGCTTTCCTGAGTGCTTGCAGTAACATAATTAGAAACAACATTAAAATGTTGATCCCAGGAAGTGCTAGGCATTACATGCATTAAATGTCCCAACATTACATGTATTAAAGTCCCAATATTAAATGTAAGATCCCAGGAAGTGCTAGGCATTACATGCATTAGTCATTTAAAGAATCTGAATTCAGTCTCCTGTGAAATAAATGAGACTAACAGGCTATCCCCTGACCCCTCAATGTGTGTCTATGGAGATTAGAGTCAGTCTAATGTAAAAGCATCTCCTCTGATACATAGGACCTGGAGAGATAAGACCCAGGACACTGAGAAGCCAGTTCACCGTGTGTAACAGACCTAGCAACCAAGGCCTTAACTCCAATTCGGGACACAATTAAAGGTGCAAACAGGACCTGGGGAGGTTCCATTACTTCAGCCAGTAAGGAGACAGAATGAATGCAAACCCAGCATGATCCCAGGGAGCAACAGCAATGGGCTCTCAATGATTCTTGACTAGGAATGGAAAACACGCAGTGAGGAAAAGCCCCTTTAGATAGAAACAGCAGTATAAACAAAGCCAAGGAGCCCAAACTGAGATAGCCAAGGGGGAAAGATCAACAGTACCTGGTGTAGTGGTTCACGCATGTAATTGGGAGGCTGAGATGGGTGGATCCCTTAAGCTCAGGAGTTCAAGACCAGCCTGAGCAAGAGCGAGACCTGGTCTATACTAAAAATACAAAAAATTAGCTGGGTGTTGTGATAGGCACCCATAGTCACAGCTACTCCACAAGCTGAGGCAGGAGAATCACTTGAACCATGGAGTTTGAGGTTGCAATGAGCTATGATGATGCCACTGCACTGTAGCCTAGGCAACAAAGTGGGACTATGTCTCAAAAAGTAATTAAGCATGATCAATAGCTCTGTGTGGGCACATGCACCTAGGAGTAGCCTTGCTGCTATGTGTCCTGATAAAAATCTTGATCGTACTGGAGGTGCCTGGGGGCCCTTGAAAGGTTTTAAACAAAATGATGGAGACTTTCATGATAGATCCATGTGAAGAGGTTCAGAATAAGCTACTATGGCATAAAAATTATTTTGATCTAAAGGCATGTGAGTTTCTGAAAACCCTCATCAGCCTAAAAGAAAAAC